ATCAGAGAGAACCCTAGACCCTGCACTAAAAGCAAATTTCGAAGCTACAGTGCTAATCGGAGGTGTTAGTAGATCTTTTGCCATTGCAGAAACTATTGGCCATCGGCGTTCATACTTTCGCCAGAAGTCAACTACTTCTTCTGAATTTTTCCTTAATGCATTGTTACTAGGCCAATTATGATTAAAGTAATCAAGTAATTCAGCAGGCAACGCATTTTCACTAGTACATGCAGTAGAAGACAAACTACTATGACTGGAGGAATCATATGCATTTCCAATTTGACCATATCTATATGAGTTAATACCTTCAAATAAATTTAAAATTTCAACGTCGTCATCTCCTAAATTAGTAGGAGGAGTACTTGTAGAGCCGAAGGGTACACGAGTAACTTGTGTACCCATTCGTGAAGCATATATTACATACATTTCAGATAAAGTTGCTTCCAAATTCCTATAGGTAATAGGTATGTTAAAAGTTAAAGATTATGACATCCACTCAATTATAAATTTAGTACCAGATAAATTATATTGAGGGTCCATGATGCATGCTAACGGAAATAACATGGGCAAGTCTTCTCAATATTTTCTAAACTTTAATTCCATGACATTTATAACTGAACTAAAATCGGGGTCATTTTTAATTCTATCAAAAGCCCTAACAACTAGATAAAGACGTTGAAGGACCATACAACTAATAGGATAATAAACACCAGACAAATATTTGTAGCATCATAAAAACTTTTCAAAAAATGTTTAATTTTAGTAACTAAAATCCAATCGGACTCAATCAAAACAGTTTTCTCGTCGTCTCTAAAATGCCTACTGTTATAAAATTCAGTAATTAAATGTTCGAAGCCTTCACATTATTTTAATAATAAATATGTGGAGTCTCATCTATGCGCTACGTCACTAATAAAAGTTTTTGAATGCGACACCCCATGTTCGGCATAAAAGTCCTCAAATGCTTGTTTTCTACTAGGTGAAATAGTAATATAAATTAGTGCATCCCTAATTCGTTGAATTTCATCCTTAACATGTTTTAAACCATCTTGTACTATTAAATTTAAAATATGACATACACATCGAATATGAAATAAAAAACCACCAAATTCAGGTTGAAGTACTCTTTGCAATTTCTCGATAACAGGCTTATTTACATTAGCGTTGTCGAACGTAAAAGAACGAATTTTACTCTCGCATTTATATTCTCTAATAACGTTCATAATAGCACTAAATATATTGGGAGCATTGTGCGGGTACTCAATAATTTTAAAAGCAATTATTTTTTTATGCATGATCCAAAGTGGGTCTATATAGTGTGCAGTTGCAGCCATATAACCTCTTTTATTAATCCCTTCCCATAAATCCGAAGTTAAAGATATTACACCCCCATATTTTTCTAAATCGGCAATCAATGTTTTATTTGCATTTAAAAAACATTCTATTGTATCAGAACGAAAAGTATTTCGACTTACCCCAACGTACCTCGATTGAAGACATTCTTTGACAAATGTAACGAAATGTTGGTTGTCCGTTTGTGCTAGTGGCAACTCAGATCCGGCAATGTACTTCACGATTCCTGTTCGAGTTCTTTCCTCCGAATACATCCACGTATTAAGTGGCGTAGTAGTAGTAACACCGCTGCCTGAAGTACCAAATTGTAGTTGCGTTTGACCAGCAGGAAGAAGACCATGTTTGGCCGTACATGCTTTGTAGTGACGGTTGAGGTGGGTGGTTCCAATGCCTTTTTGATGAGCCAATCGTTGTTGACAGTATTTACATACTGCTTTGATTTCTGGAATTCCATCGACCATACGACCAGTTTGAACCAATTTAAAATGATCTCAACATTTTGCATGCTTCTTTACCTTTCTCTTCCCTCTTGCATCGGAAATTTCAATAACAGGTTCATCATCCTGTTCCAAATCAATTGGAGCCTCAGCATCAATGTCATCCAAATTAATTTGATGACTACTTTCTTGAACATTGTAATCTTCAATATTTACTGGAATGGGTACTTCATTTAGACCGGCGAACTCATTCCCATATTGATTATGGGACACATTTGCTTCATTTCCGACTCCGACATCGAACAAGTTTTCAATAAATGAGCGTGAATCCATTTGTGATTAATTGAAATTGAATGTTGAAGAAAAAGAAGTGAAGTAGAATTGAGAAATGAATGAAAATTATGTAGTAGTGTAGAAACTATATTGTAAAATCAAGATTATAATTTAATGATATGAATATAAAATGTAGAAGAGTATAGAAATGAGAATGAATAAATAAATAATATTGATAATAATTGAGTTGTAGAGAGTATAGTAGAGAATAAGAGATTGATAGTAAGTTTGGTAAGAAAAAATGTTGTAATTGATGGTTATTTATAGGAAGAAAATGAAATTTGAAAAAAAAACAAAAAAAATATCAGGGGACCAAAACGGTCACTGACAAAGTTCAGTGACCCTTCGGTCAAAAGTGACCGAACGGTCACTGAACTTTGTCAGTGACCGTTCTGGTCACTGAATTTTTTTTCGTTGATTGACGAGCCGAGCCCGGCTCGGCTCGTCAATCAATTCATAGGTTCGGCTCGTTGCTCGTTTTAGGCAAGCCGAGCCCACGAGCCCGCGAACTACTCGGGCCCATTGTCACCACTAGCAAGAGATAAAGCAAGGTCCACATTTCACTTTGCCTAGTCCCTTCTTATGTGCTTTTAAGAGGCAATTGGACAATTGAACAAAGCCCTTGGACGACTCGTCTGATTGTTACTTTCTAAGTGTTATTTTTTAGGTGAGACATAACCTCCTATGTCTTACATTTTAGAGGCAATCGATATATTATGTGATGAACATCTTTTGCAAGCCTCATATTGGCCAAGATATACCATATATCGATAATTTTGATTGCTCTACAACAGCTCGCTCAGTTAACTTTTCAATTTGTGTAGGCATATGACAACTACAGGTCTAGGATAATAGCTTTTTATCTTATAATTAGACGGCCACGTGTCTAGATAGTCAAGGATTGACACAGCTTAGCTTGTCCAGTAGCCATTAGGAAGAGGTCACGTGTCAATGTCCAATGGACTTCAGCTCACCTCTGTTGGAATAAATACTTACACACATTGAATTCCAAAGGTAATGCAATTTTGAACATAAAATTACTCTCTCAATCTTGGTGATATTATTTCTTCATTCTAATACCAGTATTTCTTATATTGTATCTTTCCCAAACCCAAATATCTTCTATCGTCTGACTTGAGTGTTGAAGTGTCCACGACGGGATCGTCACACCCTGTCGAAGCTATGATCATGTATAGTCTAATGTAATGTCCAACATGCAAATAACGTATACACGGACCAAAAGAGGAACATAAATCTGTTCATAACGTGGTCCCATCAACTTTCAAGACCAGCACTAATAACTATTAAGTTAGGATATATAAAAAGGTTAAACCCTAATCTTAAGGGTCCTCTACCACTCCTGTCCTATAGTATCGTGAGGGAGGTAAATCGCAGGTTATGCCTCCAAGGGTATAGAGTGGAAGGCTGCTTATACACTTGCACTTACCCAAGAGCCAAATCCATATTTCAGGATTCGAACCCTTGACGCAGCAACCTCAAGCAAAGTTGGATTTCTCCACCCTCCACTTTTACCACTTGGAGATGTGCCCTGGGGACAAGTTAGGATATATCTTCATATCAATGGGAGTTACGGAACCATCGAAATGACTTTTATTTGGATACAAATTTAATTAGTTAAATATTAAGACCCCAACTAGTTTAGTTAAAAATTGAATTATTAATATATTTTGATACAAGTTGATAAAATGTGTAATTAAAAAATTGACAAAATCTATGAGTATCATAAAATGTTTGATCGAAAATGAGTTTTAAAAAATAAGAATCAAAGCATGGGTCAAAAATGTGCTTTTATTTCAATCATGCTACATGAACATCAAAATTAACATAAAATTTGACATAATGCCAAATGAAATTCTATTATTAATCCATTTAAAATACAATAAACTTTTTCATTCAATTTAAAATCCTTTTTCATTCTATTGTTTATCTTCTTCATTAACACCTACACTAGTATTTTGTGGGAAGGGGGTTTCGGACACGTGGGTCAAGTGCCGGTTTTTGAGTTGCTTTCTCCTCGGAATTTGTCGGTTTCTTACCTGTAAATTTCTTAGTGATACCAAAAATATTATGTACAAAAGTTAAAAGATAAAGTTACTTTGCTTGAAGAATTTTACAAAAAACTTGACATAATTTCATGTGTCGATAGATGATTGAATAAAATAGGTTACTGTATTTCAAACTTAATGTCAATCTTGACGTTCATGTAACATGATTGACAATAAAAAACTAAGTATAAGAAAATTTTTATCCTACTTGTACGGGGTTAACGTGACAAAATGTAAGTAGATTGTCGTGATTTGTTGTCCATAAGATTTTTCAGTCAAAAAATAATCTCACACTCAAACCCTGCAGTCCAGTCGGTGACTCTTAGACTTGGCAAGATCATCAGAAGGCACCACAATTTTCAATTTTCGTGTGATCATCGGAAATGTGCAAGTACATAAAACTGACGATGATAACAGCCCAATATATTTAACCATTAAACCCAGATTACTCCAATTAAGTAGGCAAACTCTCCACTAAACACAAATATGAATTCATGATTTAACTTTCAAGAATAATAACAAGGATTAATTATGGAAGCTGAAAAGAAAATCAAGAACTGAGGTGGTAAAGTTTCAATACATAATCATAAAAAAAAACTGGAAAAACATACATACATATGGACAACTGCTAAGATTACTTTCTTACATCACAGAAATATTTGAAAAATGCTTACATCCACAAAGGTGGAGGCTCGTTCAAGTCTATGGGCAACCCACGTCTTACTATACCGAAATACTTCGCTTGGTCATCGCCGGACTCCACCACCGGAGTTCCAGAAGCGCCACCCACTTCCGTCGTGCTGTGATCACCAGCCCTGAAGCTCACATCATTGATGTCATTCAAGTTGTTAATCATGAGCCCACCGGCAGGCGAGACACACCGGTGTTCGGTCGTAATGTTGATGTTCAAAGACAACCCTGGTGACGGAGTGGGAAAGTTGGTTTTGGCTTTGGTACCACGGAGGGACCTGGCGGCGCCGTCGTAGGCTAGTGCAGCCTCCTCCGGAGAGTCAAAAGTGCCTAACCAAACCCGGGTTTTCTTCCAAGGGTCACGTATCTCAGCTGCATAACGACCCCATGGGCGCTTTCTGACTCCTCTATAATGACCCTCACGTGTGGACGCCATGGGAGAAGAGAACAATGTTTTTTTCAGTGAGAAGAATGGGTAGAGGAAATTAGGTCAATGTCTTTGATTGGTCATTAGTTTAAAATGTCGAGTTTTAGTCACTGAACGTAGGTCAATGTCGTCGTTTGTTTACTGAACTTAAGTCCGTGTCTTAGATTGTTTACTGGAATTTAAAATGTCGAATTTTGACTAATGAACTTTGGAATATATCGTACGTTACTCACTGCATAACTATTGAACTTTGAAAAATATCAAGTTTTAGTGAGTAATATACAGTATTTTTCGAAGTTCAGTTAGTAATGTACAATATTTTTCAAAGTTCGGTGAGTAATGTACACCATTTTTCAAAATTCAGTGACCAAAAATTGACATTTTAAATTTCAGTGAGAAACGAAGACATGGATCTAAGTTCAAACTCAACATTTTAAATTTCAATTATTAATCAAAAATATGGACCTAAATTCAGCGACCATTGAAACAATTAACTTGAGATTCTGCATGGTTATTAATTTAAAAAAACTGTTTAGAAGGATTATTTTGTAGCATAACTATAATGTCCTTTTGCTTTGTGATATGGTACATATTTTTTTATTAAACTTTAATTATTAATTAATTCCCAAATAAATAATTCATATCATTCACAATAAATATTTAAACCGAATTTGTATGACAGAATTATTTTATATAAAAATATATTTTTGTTTGATTTCTGTATTATTTTAACATCACAACATATGATTTATATTTGTTTTGTTTCTTTCTTTATAATAAAAATTTGAATAGTTTGGAAAAGTTGTAATAATACAGATTCTAAAATTCTGAGTAAGATGGATTTAAAGCTTCTTAAAAGGAAAAACAATTTTGTCAAACTTTAACCTAACATCAATAAATTATTTTAGAAGAAAAGGGAATTTTATCCTCCAAAAAATACTTTCGTATTTGAGAAATAAAAGTATTCGTGTACAACTGTGAACTCAAATTCTTCATGTAGATTTATTTTGTCTTTCTTTGTTTTTCGAATTATTTACATATATAACTTGAATCGTGTGTTTTATTTATAATATTGGTATATGTATTGGATTGACCATCTAATTGACGTATTGATTGAAATAAAATTGGTTCAAAATTTGATCCATTAAAAATGCAAAGGTAAAAAAACAGTTTATTTATTTATTTATTTTTTAACCCACCCGTTCATTTTATGAAAAACAATAATTTTTTATAATTAATTGTATTTTTAATTACCTATTCAATCTTTCAATTCCTATATAAATGTTTGGGAATTGTTTAGTGGATCTAAATAACCAGTATTCCAAGTGATAGGCCAGTTACCGACAAGTACTAGTGGAGAGTGGAACACAATCTGGCTTGGCCGTAGGGGCTAGGGAGCAAGAGGATAAACGGATAAAGAAAATTTAAATATTAGAAAATGCTATTTGTATATTGTTGTGTATATATTATTGTATATATTCATATAAAAAATCGTGCTTGATGGTCAGGGCTATATGTATCTTTATCCTTATATAAATTAATTTACGTATTTATGACATGGATTATATTAACTGATTTTCATTTTTTTTAAATATTTGTTGTCTATTGCCATTTACATATTCTTTTACATATTGAAATGAAATTGTCAAAATCTCTTCACCACTTAAACAATAGTGTATATGTATTGTGGGTTAATGACAAAAAGAAATTGGAGAAAATGACTCGGTCCAATCTTATCATATTTTATGTTGGTAAATAAATTTGTAAATTGTGATATACATATAATACAATCATTTTTTGTATCGTTTTCTCGCTCTTCTTTATAATCTATCTATATAACAATCTGTATGCATTCATATATGAATAAATAATGTTATCTAATAGTGTTAGAATACCGGTTTAAATGGTCAGATTTGATAGGTTTAATTAATTGAATCGTATGACATTATAAGTGAATATATTGTTTAGTATCGTGTAATTATTAACTAGACGATGCTTAGCCCAAATACGATGCTTAGCCCCTATTTGGGCTCCATTATTTCAAATTATAATAAAATGGATAGTAATTTTTTGCCGAATATATAGTGGAAAAGGAAGAAAAAGTTTTTATGTTTATATGTAATATTACTTTCTGGAGAATGTGTAATTGATAAGAACACAGAGAGAAAAATGAATTTCAATTTAATGGGAGCCAAATAGGGGCTTAATAACTGTAGACTATCTTCAACTCCACACTAAAATTTGAGGTAAGTTTAGCATCATTTTGCACCAAACTGAATACCAAATAAACAATGTTTAATTATTTTCCTTATTCTTTTATTCTTAACTCTTTATTTATCTAAAAAATTATTTATTTATTTAATAAATTACTAAATAAATAACAATGTTTCGTTAACTAAATTATTGAATGTGCTAATAAATTTAAAAAATATACTTGTAGTAGTAATAGTACTTAAAAAAAATTTATTATTATAATAATTAATTAAGAATCATATTTTTCTGTATAACAAAAAATGACACAAATACTCCCAGCAAATATTTGGTCAAACATGGAAAAGTAGGGCGAAAAGGACATTATTTATTTTGGTGCAAAAAGGATTGTCATTATTCACTTCACCATTTTGGTGTAAATTATGATGTTGGTTTGGAGAGGGGATTTCACCAAATTTTTTATACCAAATGAAAAAACGGGTGAAATGGTGCAAGGACGGGAGATGTTCTTGATACAATGGATTAGTCTACAAGTACAAAATCAATTACTAAAAGTTTGACATTCTTGACAAGTAGTGGCTCCCTGTTAATGGGGCGGCTGGCCCCACCACCACTCCACCAACAGGGGGCCACCATTTGTCAAATTTGTCATTGATTTTGTACATATAGAATAATCCTTGATACAATAGGGTGTTTGACACCTATTTTTGTGGAAAAATGAAATTTAGAATAGTAGATTGATGAAAAATGTGTTGATGAAAATTTTTTAATTTACGTATAATATTATTTTAATGAAAAATGTGTGATTGAAAAAAAAAAAGAAAAAAATACATTTTGTAAAAAATGAGAATCAAATTGGACCTAAACCCTCATTTGTTTCTCATTATTTGCTCATTAAAATAAAAAAATATGATCGCTATCTATTATATCAAGTCAGCATATTTGACTTTATGCCCCTGTTTGATTAACATTAAATTAAATTACATTACATTTCATTTTTCTCTCTCCTATTTTCAACCATACAATCTTCTATAAAATAATATTACACGTAAATCGAAAACATTACCTTCTTTTTCAACCACTCATTTTTCTTAAAAATACTATTCCCCCCATTACCATTTTCAGGTAATGGGGCCAAACAGGGGCTATATCTCTCGGATGGGCTCATAACGACTATATTTTTCGTTCGTATTTTTACATTAATGCGTATCAAATAGGACATAAATGGCCTTACTTTGAAATATTAATAAAGAATTGGATGGAGCACACAATAATTAAAGTGAAGGAGAGCAAAACGGCGAAACGGTAAGTATATGTGGGGCAAGCAGATCCGCCGAATGATAAGACGTTTCACCCAGTGGAGATCATGTGACCACTTCAACCCGCCCCTTGCTTACCCCAATACGCCGCCTCCGCCATTTCCAATGTTTGTTGTCAATGGATGATGTCACTATGCAAGGAAGGAATTACTTGTTTACTCGACTTCTGTTTTTTTAATTGTTGGGGAATTATTTAACTAAATTGGACTATGAAATGGCTATTTTGTTTCCTTAAAAGAATTTGTAAATAATTTATTGATGAATGAAGCTTCTTGTACATTCTACATTATATATAAAGTTTGACATACTTTGTAAATTCAAAATGCTGTTGGCGGAAAAGTGCGTAGTTTTTAAAAACTGTCTAATTATGCTACGACACGTGGCACAATGTCAAGCTTGATGTCAAATAAAATGTACAAGTAGCATGATTGTCTATTGATTTAGGGAAAAAAAGGTAAATTGGGTCACCTAAATTTAAGAGTTCTCCATTGAGTGATCAAACTTTAATTCTATTCCAAATGAGTAATAGCCTAGGTTTGGTGGGGATTAAAATAAAAATTTTAGTATATTTTGGTAAAAAAAAATGATGAAATGTAAGATTAAAAAGTTGTGGATCCCATAAAATATATGGTTAAAAATTGAATGTTGACTTTGAGACAGATTAAAATCTAAATTAAAATTACTACCAAACGGAGCATACTATTTATTTCTAATTAAGTTCCTTTTCGGTATATGAGATGAGATGGTGAAAGTAACTATCACACTATTCAACAAAGTTGATATGTTTTAATTTATTTGATACAGATACAAGTTTCTGTCCATTGTGGATATGATAAAAACTTCTCACTACTGACGTATCAAAAAAACATTGCTTATGATTCTTTCAAACTCAAATAATCATAATTAAGGTTCTTTTTTTTTATATCAGTAGTGATAAATTTTTATCTTATCCATTAAGGCAGAAGATCAACTTCATTATTTGATAAAGTGGTGATGACCCCATAGCTTCAACTTCATGACAGCGACTCTATTAACTCATAAACAGGAGAGGAACTCCATTAAAGATTAACAGCATTCTTCAAATTCAATCACTCCGTTAAATGTAATACCTATAGTTCAAAGAATTTTTAACCGTGGCTATGGAAACAAGATAGAGATAGAATGTCACATGACAAAATTCATTCAAATGTGGACCGAAAGACATTAATAATTTATTTTTGATTTGAGGAAATTATGTTCTAAAAAAGCATGATTTAATTAACGTAAAATTTTAATGACGTGTCATTTTCATCATTCTTAGATATTAATAAAAATATAATTTTGGGATTTCTCTGTATTTGAAAATTGCCATTTAGTAATTTTTCATATTAAGGCTCAATCCAATTAAGTCTATAGCGTCTACAAATTTAGTCATACGTCCCTTCCTTTTGTTTTGTGGTTAGGATTTCATTATCATGTCATAACATTCCTTTAATCTTTTATCTATACTGGAACCCTTGTATTCATTAGATAACGATT